CTGCATTACTGTAATGTTAATGGGAAGGGGCCGACTGGAGCCCGGAGAAACACTAGCTTTGCCCAACCCTGTTTCCGGTCCAAACCCAGTTCTGGGTGGTCAGCCAGGAGGCCCGGATCGCAGGGAATATTGCCACTGCCCTGGCCCCTCTCTCTTTCAAGGCCCAGGTACCAGGATGCCCAGCGCATCCTGGGCCCAGGGCTCTGGCTCTCCGTGCCTAGAGCCCAGTTTCTCAGTGCGCTATCTCAACCATCCACGTGAACCTGCTCTGTATGTAGCTTTACTACACATGCGCTTTCCAATTTGGAAAGGTTTTGATCAAATGGTTTGAAAATTTAATCCACCCCCCCCCTCCCGCCAGGTGACAAACTGAGAGCTGAATGTGGCCAGCACAGTGCTATTAAGAAATGTGAACTGGCTGCAATATTTTTAAAATTTTTTAAAGTTTTATTCATTTATTTTGAGAGAGACAGAGACAGTGTGCATGGGGATGGGGCAGAGAGAGAAAGAGAGAGAGAGAACCCCGAACAGGCTCTGAGCTGGCTGCACAGAGCCCGAGGTGGGGCTCAAACTCACGAAACCGTGAGATCATGACCTGAGCCGAAATCAAGAGTTGGTCGCTTGACCAACTGAGCCACCCAGACGCCCCTGGTTGCAATATGTTTAACTTGAGGGCTTGCTCCCACCCTCAAAAATCTGGGTGTGAGGTTTCTGTTGAAACAGGAGACTCAGCAACTTTGGGCCCTGAGCTGAGAAGCCCACTGTATGGAAAACGTGTGCCCTGTTCTTCACAGAGGCCACCCAGATCCTTCCCACACCTTTCTGTTACTTGCCTGGGCATTGCCAATGAGGAAACCTGCCAGCGTCCCTTCTGCCTCTTGTCCCCAAATAGTCACACTTGAGCAAGAGACTCTCAATGGAATAAAGGGCATTGGTGAAGGGTCAGGCCCCATAACTGATAGGAAAGAGGTGATTGCGGGGGAAGGAGTTCTGTAGACTTCTCATTTCGGCAGTTGCCTATTTTTTTCCTGCTTCTGATCCAGGCTTTTTCTGGGAGCAAGTTTCTGAGAAACCTGTAATGAAAAGTAGGAGCCACCTACATAGAACTCAGACTTCATTCAGCAATTCCTGATGGGTCTGGAGAGTCGATAAAAAAAAATTTTATTTTCTGTTTCCACTGCCAACACCCATGCTCATTCAGAGTTTTTACAACATTCCTCCAGCTGGTCTCCAGGCCGCCAGGGTGCCTCATTTCCAATCAGTCCAGATATCCATAGCAGATCAATAAGGAGTCAATCGATCATAGCTCTGCTGCTAATGCCCTCTATGGCTCAAAACCTCCCTCTCACTGCCTAATTAATAAGCTCCAACCCCTTTCCCTTGGGACTCAAGGTCTCCTCCCACCTTTCATGTGACTCCCAGTCACCCCAAACCAAAGGGTACCTACCTCCCAACATACACCTTGCGCAGTTCCGTTTCACCGCTGTATGCTCAGGTGATAGAGTTAAAGCAAAGCTGTCCTTTGTTGGCTTAAGTGGCTTTCGGACAGGTCATGCCTCCTCTCTGAGCCTCAGCTTCTGCGTATATAAGTCACAGATAATAAGACTCCCCTCAAATTGTTTTTATAAAGAATTAGGGGCGCCTGGGTGGCGCAGTCGGTTAAGCGTCCGACTTCAGCCAGGTCACGATCTCGCGGTCCGTGAGTTCGAGCCCCGCGTTGGGCTCTGGGCGGATGGCTCAGAGCCTGGAGCCTGTTTCCGATTCTGTGTCTCCCTCTCTCTCTGCCCTTTCCCCGTTCATGCTCTGTCTCTCTCTGTCCCAAAAATAAATAAACGTTGAAAAAAAAAATTTAAAAAAAAAATGAACTTAGGTAGCATCTGCATGAATACCCGACTCCTTGCCTGACGTGCGGTGGCTACCCATAGTTATTTTCGTCTAAACATTGGCTCCTGCCATGCCCTATTTCTTTAAACCTCTTCCTTGAAAAATACGTGTGTGCCCTTTCTTCACACCAGCCCGGAGTGTAAGGCAGAGTTCACTTTCCTAATCTGCTCAGTAGCATATACAATGCCAAGTCCAATGCCTTCTGTGGCTTTTTTTCTTTTTGAAGCAACACAAACTAACCCTGGCTAACTTCAGCTTGGCTTGGTTTTTTTAATCGAAGAAATTTACTGGAAGGATGTATGATAACTCCCATAATGAAAACCAACAGACCAACAAGAAGCAAAAATTGGCTTTGGAATATTGTCCGCTCTCCTGTGGCTGACACAGGGAAGATCTATTTTCTTGGCCCCTTAAAGTTAGGTATGACTCCAGCTAATGAAACTTGAGCAGAAGTGAAATGGTATGTTCTGGGCAGAAGCGTTGGGCAGACAGTGGGAGATTCCCCAGTGGCAATGTGTTTTTCCTGCCTGGCAGTTGCACGAGACAATGGATGGAACCCCTCTTATCCACGACCTACTCGATCCTCCACACTGAACAAGGTTAAGAAAGTTCCAGCCGCTGATGGCATGTAGCACGATCAAAAAACAAACTCGGTTGTGCTCAGCTCCTGAGACTTTGCGGGTTGGTTGCAAATACAGCACAGCCTGGCCGATCCGACTGATGAAAGCGTACCTACCGTTCATTTCCTCTGCTATTGAGCAAAATGACTTCAGTAAGCCAATATTAGAACTCCCTTTCACAGGGTGAACGAATGATGCCACGACAGTAGAGACAGAACTCTGGTCTCTTATCTAGCAAATAGACTTCCCCGTTTTGTCTTTTACCTGTCCATAAAAAGTGTATCTGTGGCAATCCGGAGGTAAAGCTCCAGACAAAACCAATGTGGTAGCGAAGAGGGAAATTATATACTTATGGAAAGAGCAAAAGATTTAAGACGTAAGAATGCCATGACCTTACGGAACCTTGCGTGAGAAAGGATCTCACTTGGGAAATCAGGAAATGCTTGGAGCTGAAACAGCAAAATCTGGCAAATGGAATTAAGCGATACTTGTACGAAAGACGGCATGTCCAATATACTTCTCCAAAAAGAAAAAAAAAAGTGAAAAACAAATGAGCTACATGTTCGACTCAAGAAGTCAGAAAAAGAACGAGAGTGATGTCAGGAAGGACATGATCACGACGAATGCCAAGCCTTTGTTCCTATCTGTGTGCTGTTTGTCTATTGCTAAGGACTGAGCCTGTGCCTCCTCAAAATCCGTCTGTTGAAGCCCTAACCCCCAATGTGACCGTGTCCACAGATAGAGTCTTCAGGAAGTAATTAAGGTTAAAGGGAGGTCATAATGGCGGAACCCTAGTCAGAGAGGACTGTGGCCTCATAAGAAGTTGAGGGGTCATCCCTGTGTCTTCATACGCCCTTCCGTGTGAGGACAGCCAGCACCTGACCGGTTCACGCCCTCATCTGAGCCCTCCGGGCCCCGGAACTGGGAGAAAACGCGCATTTCTCGTTGAAGCCACCCTCTGTGGTATTTTGTTATGGTAACCGGAGCTAAGACCTACGTGGTTCATGGTTTGTAAAAAAACGCTGCAGTCCCCGTTCCGGTGTGTGTTGGGGTTGGAGAGAGGGTCCCACATCGGCAAGCATCGGTTGGACACCCGCTGGGGGCCCTACAGTCATCTCAGTGGTGACACTGTGTATGCAGAGATATTAACAGGTCCCACAACTTTAGCGTTCAGTCCACAAGACTGTCCCCACTGCAGAAGCCAGTCTTAAGTCGGGGTTGTTACCTCTGCTTATGACCTACTGGCTAGAAGTCAGAGGCTCCCAGGATCCCCTCTTCAGGCTCCGTTAATTTACCAGAGCAGCCCACGGAACTCAGAGAAACATTTTACTTCTTAGATTACTAGTTTATTATAAAAGTATACAATTCAGGAACAGCCAGAGAGATGCGTAGGGCAACATGTAGGGAAAGGGTAAGAAGCTTCCATGCCCTCTCTGGGGGCGCCAATGTCTGGCCCCTCCACGTGGTCTCCATCCCGGAAGGAAGCTCTCCAAAGCCTTCTGGGTGTTTACTGAGGTTGCGTGACTTAGTCATGATTGAGCAGTTCATTGGCCATTGGTGATCAACCCAACCTCCAGCCCCTCTCCCCTCCCAAGAGGTAGGGGTGGGGGGTGGTTTACTGAAAGTTCCAGCCCTTTCCTCAGAAGATTGGTTCCCCTGGCAACCAGGCCCCCATCCTTAGGTTACCTAAGGGCTTTCCCAAAGTCACTCATTAACACAACAAAAGAGACTTTTATTGCTCTTACCACAGGAAATTCCAATGGTTTTAGGAGCTCTGTGCCAGTCCCGGGGTTGAATACCAGATATATAGATATATTTTTTTAATGTTTATTTATTTTTGAGAGAGAGAGAGAGAGGTCAGGTCAGGGGAGGGGCAGAGAGAGAGGGAGACAGAGGATCTGAAGCAGGCAGGCCTTGAACCCACGAACCATGAGATCATGACCTGAGCCCAAGTCCAACCCTCAACCCACTGAGACACCCAGGCGCCCCCAATATATATTTCTTATTATAGATCACAATATCACACTGCCCCACCTGGTCTTTTAACAGAGACCCCTTATAGCAAAACAATCATAAAGGTCAAAATTACCGGCACC